CCTCGCCTATGGGCCAAGGAGGTGGTGCTAGCTCCAGGCTTGGCTCTGTTTGGTGTCTGCTGCTAATCAAGTTCAGGGGTTTCTCTTTCCGGTAGGCTCCTAGGGTGAGTTAGCCTCCCTCCACCCCTCCTTGGCATTACGGACTATAGACCCACTGTCTCATCCTACATGTAGTCCATGGCCTACATGGTCTTACCGCCAAGACTCAACTACAGGGCATCCTCCCTCACCACCTCAAGCCCATTCAGGGTTGCAGGATATGTCTGTTGGCCCTCACAGCACCACTCGTACCGCATGAGAGACCTCATGCCCTGCTCAGTGTATCATGATGCAGCTGCCCCAGCTCAGATCCCAGGGGGCATCCTAAGGAGATTTCTCCAGACTCTCCAGCATGAAGTACAGTGCAGGCGCCTCCTCTCAATGATTTCTTCAATATCCTTTACTTGTTATCCCAAGGAGCTGGGTTGGTACACCAAAGACTCACCTCTCCCGCCTCTGCTCCTGTGCTTCTCCACTGCCCAGGGTGGCCTGGGAACCCCTCCTGCCACTTCTTCTGGTCCTTTCCACAAGAACCGCAGTCCACATGCCTGCCCATCAGAACCTGGGAGAAACTTTGGGTTGTGACCACTCTTGGCTTTTGATACAATAAAATTATTTGGAAAATTACTTTTCCATGAAAACTTGTTTTCAAACTTAAGTATCTTGGTACAGAATCCTATTTTGAATGATAGGGGTGAATATTAACTTTATTTTTGACTATGTGAAGTAGCTCTCCTAATCTTTTCCCAGACTTGGGCTAACTGTGGAGAAGGTCACATAAAGACAAATGTGAAAGAAAAAGGCCTTACTATTTTAAAAGATTGATCACAGTAAAAATATCCAAGACAATAAGCATTTGTAACTCATAGAATTACTTTACAATGATAGAGTGTTCTACAGCCTTTGAACTATAGTATCTTATTAGGTCCTTATTATGAATTATCCCATTTTATAGGTAAGGCAACTGAAAAGTTAAAATGCTTATTTAAGATAATGGCACTTATAAAAGGAAGAGAATTATTAATAACTCACATAGTGTATAACCCTACTTCTGGAGTTCTACCTCCAAGGCCATATCCTTTGCCTCAGCTTCAGTATTAAAGCTGAAGCCTGTTTCGAGGTCCTGAGACAGTGCTCCAGTCATGTTCTTAGCTCAGAATCCTCAGTACCCACCCAGACCTGTGCTCTGGAGCTTTCCCCTCCCTTGAGTACTTCTTGGAGACTCAGCTTTGAGTTTAGATAAATAATACAAATATTTTATACAGCATATCTTGGTGTTTTTTAATGTGGCAGTTTTTCTTGTATACTGTTTTGTCAAAATGGAAATTCTGTTCTTTTCATTCTGTCAATCCTAGCAAAACTCGTGATCTCAGTCTTAGAACTAAGATTTGAATTAAAATTCATTGTAATTTATCTTTTTCTTATGGATATATATTTATGTGGCCACTCTTTTTTTTCCTATGTTAATGAGATTATATTGAAAAATTTACCTGCAATGGTTTAAGAAATGTTGATTAGTGCTTTCAGTGTGTGAGTCTGTACATTTGAAATTGACTCTTTATTTAGATTTGTTCTCAACCTCAGATTTTCAAAATCAGAGAATTAAGAGACCTAGTCATAAAAGAACTAAGAAGCCTGAACTTTTCATTGAGGCTTGATTATAGATACCATTAACATTGTAATGTAATAATTATAATAGCTAACATTTACTGAGAACTTGTTAATCATACTACCTAGATTTTCTCACTTAAACATCAAATCTACATGGTAAGTACTTGTTACTATCCTGTTTTACAAAAGAGGATGTGATGATACTAATTCCTTACATTTCAGTAATGATTTATGTTCTACAGCATTGTTTCACCTACATTAACATATCCTGTGATTTGACATGGCAAGTATTATTATATAGAAGAGACTATAACTTCAGAACTTTTAAATGGTTGGTGCAAAATACTATAGCCAGTAGCTAACAGAGCTGGCCTTTGGTCATTGGGCTAACTTTTCATTTCTTGGTTTTCTTCCTAGCTAAGGTCTTCTAGTTTAAGGCTCTTAGAAATGAAGTATGCATTTAAAATAATTGCGAGAGGTCCATTTTTCAATGTGTTAATAATGCACAACCACTTAAACCTAATCTGAGGAAGGACACCTCCTGCATTGCACTGTGGCTTAGTGGAAACAGCACAGGTGGGAAAGCAAGCAAGACAGACTTGGATCAGGCTCACCTACAGGTCCTGACTGTTGGGCAGTTTTGCTGAGCCTCTCTGCCTCTCTCTCTCCACCTGTACACTTGGGATGGTTGGGCAAAGTTGCCTCTAAGCCTCACTCCAATATATAATGATTTTATATAGTTCTCTCCTAAAAACCTCAGTCTTGTGTGATAAGGTTTAAAAATGAAAGGAGCAAATTTTAAAAAATAGTAACTTTAAGCCTCTCCAAAAATTAGTGAAAAAAATGATAGCAATAATGTTTAAAATTAATTTGAAAATGGAATTTGGAAAACAATTCCATTTATAATAACATCAAAGAGAATAAAGTACTTAGGAACAAATTTAACAAAACAAAAGCAAAACTTATTTTCTGGGAATTTCAAAACATTGCTGAGAAAAATTTCAAAAGACCTAAGTAAATGGAAAGACATCCTGTGTTCATAAACTGGAAGACAGGATATGGTTAAGATGATAGTATTCTTCATATTGTCCTACAGATTCAACACAATCCCTATCAAAATCACAGTTGGCTTTTTTGCAGAAGTTAACCAACTGAACCTAAAAATCATACAGAAATTCGAGGGACTGAGAATAGCTAAAACAATCTTTAAAAAAGAGCAAAGTCAGAAAACTCACACTTCCTGATTTTAAAACTTAAGTAATCAAGAATGTGTGATACTCTCATGAGGATCGATATATAGATCAGTGGAGTAGCACTTAGCACAGTGCTAAAAGTGATAGCCATTGTCAGAGGTGTTGAGGTCATGATCACTGCAGGGTTGTGATAAAGACTTAAAGACAAAGGCCTGCTCATAAGCCCCTGCACTGCTTTTGCATGTGCCTGGAGCACCGTCCCTGTCTCACAGTTTAATTAAACCCTTCATGACCGCAGGGCAGGCTGCTTCTCTGGTGGGTGTTTACTGACCACATCCAGCCACTGAGTTATCAGGCTTGACTGTTTCAGTTCTTGCAAATCTGTCATCTCACTTCTGGCAGCCCTGATTTATTTGTCTGTCTTACCGTCTGGGTGCTACTTGAGAGTAGGGGCTGCTGCCTCACTCCCAAGTTTCCCAGCTCAGGGCTCTGTGCTTGGTAGGTGCTCAGTTAATACTGTTTGAAGGACTGAACAGTAAGGGTAGGGCCTAGATAGATTGTTTGAACATGGTCACATGCTTCCATAGGAGCCCTAAGCATCTGCTTACCAATAACGAGAATAATCTGAACTGTTTTATGTTGGGAACTTCATCTAATTATATGGCATTGCTCATTTATCTAGTATATTTGGAATGATAGTATAGTCCTGTTATTAAAATAGAAAGATAGACATCAAGAAATCTACATTTAATTATAAATTTAAATTTATTTGTTACAAGCTGGTAGAGAATAAAAGATTGCTAATGGGTAGCAGATTGAGAAGGATTGCTCTCATTAAATATTTTTTCATTTTGAAAGGCTCTTTTTTGAAGGAGTTCTGTGTTTTATAAACTGCCATGGAGGAAGCAGAGCATACTCCATCAGCTGCTAAGAGAAACTGAAAATTTTAGATTTCCATGGAAATCACATTGTCATTTTTAATGATGGCATTGGTATAGATGTGTATACCAAATTTTTGTAGTAAGTGATCTAGTATCTGTATGTACTTGCCCTAGGCTGTGGTTCTTGCCAAAATTTAGTAAACCTCTTTAGAAAAATTCCCCTTATCCCTGTGCCAGTTTCTCTAGAAGCCAAAAGCTTTCATCATAACTCACCTCCCTGCTTAATCTGCAAAAGAACAAAGCTAAAGCTATTGAAATGTGATAAATTATGATAGTAATCTATCTAAACTGTATGCAGCCATTATTGACTTTATGTGTGTTACTACCTTGAGAATTTGGCATTACCTGGTGCTTGTGATAACCTTACCTAGAAACAGAGGCATGGGTAAAATCATCTCAGAAGTGTCTTTTAATTTTGTCCTTCTCTGTAATCTTTTTAAAAGTAGAGGCTTTCATTAAAGACCCAAGAATATAAAACAATTTCACTTCTTTCTTCAATTTATGGTGCCTTTCATCAATTGTTTCAAAATATTTATTTACAATTCAGGAGACCATTTCTGTACATAGCACTGAAGTGAATTTGGAAGGTGGCATTTTAGTAAGTATAGTACAGAGAAACTTTTGACTTGGAACTGTGTCATAATTTATAATTGGATAGCTTTGCAGGTTTCTAAAGAAAAAAGATCACCACTTATTGGCAACCCAAATGCATTTGTTTGTTTCCTTTAACTAGTTATACCCTGTGTACTAAGTTACTCTCCTCTCCCGTTCCCCATGAGGCCCAAAACAGCTTTATTAATAGGAACATATGCTGTTTATGTTCTTAAAAAAAATCAGGGTGGTCTTAGATGTCTGTCTTCCATTCTGGCATTTCCCTTTATACAACCCTTTTGAATTTTCTGTTTAAAAACTGGCATTCCAATAGCTTTTCTTTGGCCTAATGCCTGGGTCACATATAGCAGCAGCAAATTAGGAATGTTAAGACGTCCCCCAAAGAAAAATGTTTGTTATGAAAGTAGAGCTGATGTGACACTTAGAATTAGAGCTTCTTAACTTATCTAAATGACAGTTAATGATGGGTTTCTTTTATTCTTATTTTAAAGAAGGGGGGATAAAAATGAAAGAAATGCCCAGAGGCTGAGATTGGGTTTGCTTCACCAAACTGTTAAATGTCAAATGTACTATACTGATAATACACCTTTTTATCTCTTTTTAGGAGCTAATTTTGTTACTCGAAAAATTAGCCGGTCAGTGGCTAAGATTTACCTTGGACAACTGGAATGTTTCAGCTTGGGAAATCTGGATGCCAAAAGAGATTGGGGCCATGCCAAGGACTATGTAGAGGTAGGAACTGACTCATTATGTTCTTAAAAATACCTGCATCAGTTGGTGTTTTCAATGCTGGGCCTCTAGTGGAAAAGCGTGACCTACAAGAGGTGGTAGCATATAAAATTTTGCTAACGCAGATATGTGTAAACTTATTACTTTCAATTTAAGGCCCCACAGTTCAACTTTACTTGTAGATTACACTGAGTGTTTTTTGAATGTGGAAACCTCTCACAATTGTTCTTTTTGTTATTTAAAATGAAGGTGTTGGGCATTCATCTGGATGATGGATGAAAAAATGTTTGAGTAGTATTCTTTTCTTTCTAAAGCTTCTTTCTCCTTGTTTCTTGCACCTTCTTCCTCCTGCCTGCCCAATATACATATAACTAACTGAAAGAATTTTTAGGTATAAAGGTGCAGTTCTCAGAGCTTCAAGAAATACTACTTAATTTCAATTTGTATAATCCAAGACTTTCAGATTTACATTATGCTACTAAGGTACTCTAAGAGTAATATTCTTACGGAGCTTTTGGTTTCTGGTTATTACCTTACACATTTCTTAAAGTATGACTTTGCACACCAATGAATTTTGTTCATTAAAAAGAGAATTGCTAAAGTGATGTTATTGCATAATACTGGATATAGTTAAAGGAAAATTCAAATTTTCATTCTTGGGACTTAGATACACATTAAATTTTGGTTTGGGTTAGATATGTTACATGTATAAGTAGTGTGATTTTTCTTTAAGCAAATGGTTATATTTTACCTTTCCCTGATCAGTATGCTTTTAAATATCGGTGGTGGTTTCTGTGGCCAGACATGGAGGAGCATGTTGGTAACATTGTCTTTTTCCCTGGAGTCCGCTTGTCCTTGTTTAGGTGCTTACAGATTTCCTGTGTTCAGGAAACTATTTCTGTCCTTAATGATTCCTCTCTGGGAAACCGGATTTGGCTTCCTTGTTCATTGATGCGATTCAAAAAGAAACTTGAACATTTACGAAAGAAAGCAAACAAGTAGTTTATTTGTTAACCCAGGTTAGTCTCGGCAGTGTTATTATTTTTGTTTATAACAATTAAAAATGTATACTTGAACACCTAATACTGATTTATATTATGGACAAAAAATTAGCTCTAATTTTAAATTTTAAACAGTGTAACATTTAGATCATTTCAGTATGTTCTTCTAAGCTGTCATTACAAAGAGGCATTTATTTTATGACAGTAGACATTAGATACATTTTAAGAACATTACATTAAAAAATATATAAGGCCACACTTTCAGAAATTTTAAGAAGTAGGAGAAAGGAGAGGTTATCAATAGATGCTGAAACTGTTTTGTCTAACCTATAATGGCCTAACCTACTTAAAAATATGAGGTAAGTTTTATAAAAATGAATACATTACTTTTTCAAAAATATCATTCTAGCTATCTGTATATACTTAGAGCGATAGAGAGCGATATAGGTACCTTCTTTTCCAAACTCTTGTTCTCCAAAATCAGAACCAAATAGATCAAATTTCATTCCATTTAATTTTATTTTTTTGCACCAGGGTAAAAAATGAAGTTTTTCTTAGAACTCAGAAATAGGGGTGCCTGGGTGGCTCAGTCAGCTGAGCATCCAACTTTTGGTTTCTGCTCAGGTCATGGTCTCAGGGTCATGAGATCGATCCTCACATCAGGTTCCATGCTCAGTGGTGAGTCTCAGAAATAGATTTTGATAGTGAAACAGCATACCAAATGTTAATAATGCTTATTACTGGTTATGTTTATTTTCCTCTTTATATTTCTGTATTTTCCATATATTTGAAATGAATGTAAACTTTTTCAGTCAGAAAAAAAAATTAATGACATTTTAAAAGTAGGCCAGAAAAAAAAATGCACAACACTATTAAATAAATACATAAGTAATGAGTAAGTCTTTTGTGAGCTTGGTGGAGCTGGAAGAAGGACTGTGCTATCATCTCACTCCCAAAATGCCGAGCCTAGCACTGGTCCTGGGTGTAGCTCAAACTTTGAAACAAAGGGGCCACAGTTGTTTTCATTTAAAATAAAAGCATTTTATATACATTTTGGCTCAAAGACTTCAAAAAGTTCTTCCCAAATGCTGTTTTGAAGATTCCTTGACTGGATGGTGTCAGTAGAGTGAGCCCAAGAAGCCAAACCATCCATGCAAAAGTAAAATGTTCTGACCTTTCAGTAAGAATGTAAAATTTTCAGATTTTATGGAGAAACAGACATTAAGAGACAAAATTAAGTCATTCTCATTGGCATTCAAGACCTGATTTGTTCCACAATACAAATAGGTTTTGCTATGAAGGATTCCCCTGGGATTCAGACAGTAACACATGTTGATGATGTAAGAAGCATTGTATAGTTCTCATTTATGGGTCCTGAAAGACGTCTGAATTTCTTGATTTCTAAAAAAAATGCCATTATTAAGAATTCTTTGTTTGCTATTTCCATTTTAAGAAATATCACCATCCTTTGCATTTCTAAATGTATTAAAATGAAGTCACTTCACAGACTTGTGACTAAAAGTAGATGTTGCCAGAATTAAAGTCAACAAGCATTAAGAATGAAAAAAGAGAAGCATTGTTTGTTTAGAGTATATCTGCATCCTGGCGCTATAATCAGCTTTAGAATAAAGAAGCCTTGGCAAGTACAGATCAAGCAAGTCATAATAGCATCTTATTTACACTCGTTTTAATTATATAATCTTTCTCATTTATACACAAACATATTGTACTGGTGAATCTTTAGATTAAGTGATGTACTTTTTTAGTTATGGATGAACTTCCACGATGAGGAGTAGAGAGCGTTTGACAAAGAGTGTAGGGATCCTAGCTGTGTCAGTGATTTGCTTAGGGTTTTATATCTCAGTTTACCCATCTGTGAAAAGGGCATAATAACAACCCTGTAAAAAATTAGCATTAATGTGCTGTACATTCATGATTAGAATCTACCTCTGTCTTATAAACATTTTTGCAACAGTTTATACGAAGCCATTTCCTGTTGCTGATTCAGGTTCATTAATCTCCATTTATAGTCTTGTTTCCTAGATCAAAATGATTTAAAACTTAATTTGAGTGGGTAAGCAGTATTTCAACTTGAAGTGAAGAATATAAAACCTATATTAAATTTTATTGTACTTCAGGATAAACAAGTTATATGCAGTTATATCTTTTCCAATATTTTATTCTAAACTTACAGGATTGTTGAATTAATTTTACCATGAGCAGCCATATACCCTCCACCCAGATTCTATAATTAACAACTAACAATTACTGTTGCAATTTGAGAAAAAATATTACTGTTTAAAGACTTCTGTAGTGCTTGATGGGTCAGAGCTCTAAATACTCAGTTTACACAAACAGATTACCAAGAATTTGCACTTCTTATGGGATATAGTCAGTTGACAATTCAAACTTTTAAAATATTTTTATCTTCTTACATAATTATATGACACCATCTCGCTCTGTTTTCATGCCTGCTGCCCTCAACATACATTGAAGTAACTCCTTGTATTCATGAGAACACAATGGGGGCTGTTGTATACCACATCCAAGCAAATTCAGGTGGTCAACATTTTAACTGCATGGTCAACTGCAAAGGAGAGGACCTCTAACTTCTCTAGGGGGCATGGGTCTTTCCACATATCTTCTGTTCAGTACCTACCATGGTCATGGTTCTAGTTGCTACACATGACAGTCTTTTAAACTTTGTATAAAGCCCAATAAGCCTACACAATGCTAAATTGCACAAAGGTAAGCAGATTTCTTTATCGTAGGACTGACTTCTCCAAACTTAGGATATATGAATGCACCGTGGCCTGCTAAGATTAATAAAGGTTTCTCAAACTTACTTAATTTTGCCACCCTTTTAATAAAAAATATATATTAACATCTAGCAGTGCAGAGGTAGAAAATGGCACCATATGTTTAAAATTAATGGTAACAGTTTGGTTAACAAGGTCCCAGTGTGATCCCACCTTGATGAAACTAGTTAGAACACAACTATAGCTGGAAAATATTGAGAGGTGAGCTAATTGACAAGGGCTGGACTGGAAGTATCTTTAAGTTTTTACCACTCACAAGAGGGTCCTTGCTCTTGGGGTACATGGATAATCAAGTGACCTAAGTCTGAGCTTTTTCCAAGACTCAGCAAAAAGCCATTTAAAAAATATCATGAGGTTTTACTGCCAACAACTGACCATACAGGTGCTCTTGAAGAGTTCTCCTGGCCCAAAGGGAATCCAGGGCACATTCAAATTATTAGGGGAGGATTTTTGAGATTCATCTGAATTTTTAATATAATGGTCTCTCACACATACCTTTTTCTCCCTCCCTCCCCTCTTTCTTTCTTCTTTCTTTCCTTTCTTTCCCCTCCTCCTGTTTTTTTTTTTTTTTGGCTGGGATCATAGATTAATTTTTAAAAAGCTAGTTTTAGAAAGAAAATAATAGGGGCACCTGGGTGGCTCAGTCATTAAGCGTCTGCCTTCGGCTCAGGTCATGATCCCAGGGTCCTGGGATCGAGCCCCGCATCGGGCTCCCTGCTCAGCAGGAAGCCTGCTTCTCCCTCTCCCACTCCCCCTGCTTGTGTTCCCTCTCTCACTCTCTCTCTCTGTCAAATAAATAAAATCTTTTAAAAAAAATAATAAAAATTGCCAAATGTTGGACACTCATTATGTGTCAGAAACTTTACTGAGGACTTTACATACGTTATCTTATATGATACATACAACAGTCCTTTACAGATGAAGAAATTAAGGTTTGGAGAGTTCAGGGGATGATTTGCCCAAAGCCATGGCCAAAAGAGGTGAATGAACCCCAAACTCCAGCCCAGGCCTGATACCTCAGCCATTCTCATAACCACTGATTCACTTTGACTTGAGGGGAGCAGAGACATAAGCAGGGGGGTCTGGCTAATTTTCCATTTCCCAGAGAGACAAGACCTTGAGCTTCTCTCCCTTTTCTCTTTATGCCATTTATAGTCCAAGGGGAAGAGAAGTATCTGGAGGA